AAATCTAAAATCAAAAATCAAAAATCAAAAAAAATTAGATATTAACAATCAATGCAGAAGTAAAAAAGAAAGAAAGAATAGAGAATGAAAGAAGAGGAAAGAAGAAAGAAAAATAAATGAAGGAAGAGAAACTTATCAATCAAAATTGAAAAATTTTCTGTTTTTTTTTTCAACAATTATTGTTAATTAGTAGTTTAATTATGATTATTTAATTACTATCATAGTTTAATTATGATTATTTAATTATTATCATAGTTTAATTATTATTTTAGCTTAGCAATTACAGTTTTATTATTAATATTATTTGTTAATTTTCACACAATTAAAATAGTAATTAATATTTCATTATATTATGAATTATTGTTATATTTTATGATGGAATTTATACAATGAAAGGCAAACATAGTAATTTGTTCATTATTTATTATTTGCTTTGTAAGTTTTAATCTTTTAAAAACATTTGGAATTAAAAGAAAAAAAACCGAAAATTAAAATAATCAATTAGTGAAAGAATTAATTTAATAAAAATTATGCTTCTTGAAAAGCTCAAATTAGAAAATAGTGGCATATTAAAAGAAAAAAAAAGAATTTAAAACATATGTGATTTCAAGATAATAAAAATATTAAAAAAAAAAAAATGAAGTGCTGGAAAAAAAAAAGAAAACCAAAATATTGAAAAAACGAAAATATTTTTTGAAAAGGAACAAAAAAAAACACTAAAATATTTCCAAAATAAATAAAAAAAAAGAAGTAAACAATAATAAAATATTTTGAAAATTTATGTAATAAAGGCAGCTAAAATTACACATTTTGGAAAATAAAGAAAAACAAAACAAAACAAAAAATAAAAAATAAAATTGAAAAGTAAAAAAAAAAATTGTTGAAAAAATTGTAGTAAATATAAGGTAATAAAAACATAAAAATCAGGAAATAGTGCAGAGGTTATTAATTTTACTCTAAGCAATAAAATATTGAAAATATTGCATAGAATATTGGAAAAAAATATACGGAGAGGGAGAGAGAGAGAGAGAGAGAGAGAGAGGGAGAGGGACAGAGAGAGAATCAATTTAACAATAAAGCAGTTAATAATATTGCCATAAACTACGAAATTTGCCGAGGAGTAAAAAAAAATAAAAATACAATTTATCAATTATTTTATCATTTATCTTAACTTATCATTTCCTAATTTACTTATTTTATTAGTTAATTAATTGAAGTGAAAAATGTTAAACATTTCGTGTTGCTCATATTTCTTTATATCACTACCTTTCCCTCCTAAAGCATAATGCTATCTCTTTACTACTGTCGTCTTTTCCTTCTAAACTAATGCAAGGCTAAGGAACATCTTGCGAAGTCTTTCTCGTCTGAAAAAAAAAAAGAAAGAAAAAAACGATGAAATGGGATAGAATAAATTTGAAGTGATAGAAACCATACATCAAAGTGATGTAAACATCATACAAGCAGAGAGATACACTTCAAAATATTTTGATTTTCACATACTAATTGCATAAGCTTATGTGCATTATGCGCTCACACGTAGATGCCTGTACGTAAATGCGAAAGTTTACGCATACACATTTACAGCTGCATACACACACACACACATACACACACACATACACATACACACATAGACACACACACACACACATAGACACAGACACGAATACACAGAAACAGCCAGAACTCGTATATGCAACGTTGTGCAAGCAGACACACCCAGCACTTAGGACTTATGCAAGCATAGAGACAGACGTACGCATGTTTATGTGCACACGTACGAGTATGAACATTTACACTTACGTTTAATGTAACGATGAGTGTAATAAGTGTAATTTAATGTAACAAATAAGCGAGAAAGTGGAAGATTTTAAAAACTAGATATTAAATTTGAAAATGAAAAATGAAAATATTAGTTTTAGGTGAAAAAAAAAAGAAAAAAATTATATTTATTAGCTGTTAACATTTAATTTAAAAATAAGTTATATCAAATACATATAAATGAAATATAAAAAAAAAATGAAAAAAATTATATTAATTGTTGACAGTTAATTCAAAATTAAATTATATCAAATACATATATAAATGAAGTATAAAATACATATTTAATCAGAAATGATTTAAACTATGAAAAATGTGATAAGGAAGAAATTTCATATCATTGTAATGATAAATGTGATAATTTTTTTTTTTTCAGTAACATTCCAATATGTATGAATTAATTTGAGAGGAATGAAATGTTTGTAAAATTTAATATTAAAATATTGTAGTATTTAATTTAAATTTATCAGATAATATGAAAAAAACTTATCTAATCTATCAAATTATGATTTTAAAATATTAATATTAATAAATGTATTAGAATAAATGATATTATCATTGATATAATTTATGATTAACAAACGATTTATCATAATTAATTAATTTGAACTATCTTATATGATAACAATATTATAAAGTATTAACATTCTCAATTCTCAAAATCTAAATGAAATAAAAGAATCGAAAAGAGATGAAAAGAAAAGTTTTTATTGCCAAAACAAAAAAAAAAAAACGAAGAAATATTGCTCTCATTTTATATATATATTTGAATGTATTGAAAAAAAAAAGAGAAAAATTTCAAATTTTTGGTTTAAAATTTATTGATTTTATGTGTGTTTAAAACTTTTAGGGATTAAAAATTAAATGAAAGAAACAATTTATTTATTTATTTCTAAACACAACCATACCCAAATAAAAGTGATTGAAGTTAATGATTATTTTTTCAAATAAAATTATCATTTATAAGAAAAAAATTAAGTGAAAAAAAAATGAATAAAAATAATTTAAATAAATAGTAAGAAAATAATATAAATAAAAAAGTTAAATAGTATATAAAAATGTCAATAGATAATGAAATGATTGATTAAAAAAATAATAATAATTTAAATAAAAGAAGTTAAATAATATAATAAATATTAATAATTAATAAAAAATGATTTTTGTTATATAAAATCACATGAAAATAATAAGAGAAGCAGAAATAATTAATAGATTAATAATACTAATTAATGATAATAAGAAATAAATAAACAAGTAAAAAAATAGATTAATAAATGAATAAAATAATAATAATATAATACTAATAATAATCATAATAATAATAATATAATACCAATAATAATCGTAATAATAATAATAATATAATAACAATATCATAATGATAATATTACAATAATAATATAATAATGTCATTATTATAAATAATATAATAATATTATTATTATATAATAATAATAATAATAATAATGATAATAATAATAATAATAATAATAATAATAATAATAATAATATATCAATAATAATGCAATAATAATAATAATATAATAATAACAATATAATAATGATAATATAATAATAATAATAGTAATAATATTACAATAATAATAATAATAATAATAATATATCAATAATAATAATGCAATAATAATAATAATAATAATAATAATAATAATAATAATAATATTACAATAATAATAATAATAATAATAATAATAATAATAATAATAATAATAATAATAATAATAATAATAATAATAATAATAATAATAATAATAATAATAATAATAATAGTGATGATGATAATGATATAGTAATGATAGAATGATGAATCATTTATTTCAAATATACAAAGAAAGGCAAAAAGAAGAGAAAAAAAAAAGGAAAAGTAAAGATGAGAAATGTTAATAAAAGATAATGAATATTTGCTTTCATTTATTTGATCGTTGACAAAAAGTATAAATTTTCTCTCTTCTTTCTTCCTTTTTCTTTTTTCAATAAAATGAAAGAATGGTTGAATGATTGATTTATCAAATTTAAACATTGATAGAAATATTCTATGTGATAAATATCAAATATTTCTATCATTTTTTCTTTTTTTTTTTCAAATTAATTTTTTGTATTTTTTTTTTTTTTTTGATAGCTTATTTATCATTTTTTTTTCTATTTCATTTCATTTCTTTTTATCATTTGTTGCAAAAGAAAAGCGAAAATTTTGAAAAAGGACAAATTTGATTTGATTTGGAATCGTTATCTATTCATTATCAATGCTATATAATCGATTAATCAATCAATCGATTATTTATTATCAGTGGTAGATGTTATCATTTCCATTTTATTTCTAATTTTAGCAAAGCATACTTTTCTTTTCTTTCATTTGAAAAATGAAAGAGAAAAAAAGAAAAGAAATTCTTTTTTCTTTTCTTTTTTCATATTTTAATTTTTTTTTGTTTTTGTTTGTTTGTTTTTTTATCAAATTGTAAACAATATTTTTTTGTTTTTCTTCTCTTTTTTGTCTGTGTTTATAATTGCACAATTTTTTTTTTGACATTTATTGTAACATTGATAATTTAAATCTTTTTTTTATGTAAAAAGTAAAGAAAATCTTTGATAAACAATCATTATTTCATTTCATTTCACTTTTTTTTGATTATTATTTGTGAAATGAATCCAAAATTAAAATTGTGTGTAAAATTAAATCGATGGATTAAATATTGGTGCAACTAAAAATGAAATATGAAAAATAATAATCTATTAATTAGGCAATAAAAATGAGTAACGAAGCTTTACGAAATTTATTAATTTGTAATTTTAATAGTTAAAACAAACATTTAAATAACTTTTTCCATCTTCTTAAAATATTTTCTAAAAAAAGAAAAAAAAAGAATTGGACCACTTTTTCCATACAAACTGGTTTAACAATATGCTTGCAATAAATTTTTAATCTTTTTTTTTCCTTTTTTTTTTTTTAAATAAACAAGAAAAAGTGAATATGAAAAATGTAAGTATTTTGGTATACTTTTTTCAGTTTAATTTGAATTAATTCGTAATTTTTATGCAATTTATTGCTTCAAATTTTACATATTAATTATATTACTCATTTGTTTGTATTAATTCTCGATTTACTACAATTATTTTAATAAATTTCATTCATTCAAATAAATGAAATTATTTACAGTGCTATGAATACTCCAACAACAATGACAACAACAACAATAAAACCAACACCAACAACACTACCAACAACACCAACAACACTACCAACAACAACAACAACACTACCAACAACACCACCAACAACACCAACAACACTACCAACAACACCAACAACACTACCAACAACAACAACAACAACACTACCAACAACAACAACAACACTACCAACAACAACAACAACAACACTACCAACAACAACAACAACACTACCAACAACACTACCAACAACAACAACAACAACACCAACAACACTACCAACAACAACAACAACACCGACAACAACAACACCGACAACAACAACAGCAATAACAACAACAATGACAGCGACTACTACTACTACTACCACTACTCAAGGAAAGATAATTCAATTAAACTGTAATAATGATAACGAAATATTATCATTTACTCATTCCAGTGATAATTATATCCAATCAATGAATGATAAGGATGTAAATGAAATTGTTAAAAGTAATGAAAGTCAATTTGTGATACTATCAAGAAATTTACAATTATCAGATGATAGTAGCAATATCAAAACTTATCAATTTACTGATAAAATAAATTCATCACATATTGAACCATTAAATATTAATTCATCATATACAATGGAAAAATTGGATGAAAAACGAGAAAATGAAAGAGTTTATGAATATTTGTTACGATTAAATGAAGTAAGAAAGTAAGTTCTTTTTTTTTTTGTTACTAATTTTAAATTTTGATAATTTTTGTAATAGTTTATTAAATTAATTAAAAGATGTAGAAAAAAGTTTTTTTTTTTTTAATTTTGAAGAATTTAACTTAATAATCTAAGAATATTTAATTTAAATTGTTGAGTGTTTAATTTATTTTAATACAATGTATTATTTTATAATTAATATTGCAATTATTCATTTCCAAAAGAAAAAAAAATAGAAATATTATTAATAAATGTTATTAGGAAGAAATTACCCTTAAAAAATTTTTCATTTTTTGTCCTTTTTTTTTCTTTATTTCATATAAATTTTAATGATTTATGTTAAAAAATTTGCCAATATTTCATTTGCTCACACATATTTAAAAAGATTGTTAAAATAATTTTAAAAATTTGTTATAATTTTCCTTTTTCTTCAATTCACTACTTTTAATCATTATTTTCCTTTTTATTAACTTTTCTTTTTTCAATTACTTTAACTAATTTAAAATAACTTTTCAATTACTTTAACTAATTTCAAATAACTTTTCAATTATTTTAACTAATTTGAAATAACTTTTCAATTACTTTAACTAATTTGAAATAACTTTTCAATTACTTTAACTAATTTAAAATAATTTTTTCAATTACTTTAACCAATTTAAAATAACTGCAAAAATAATTAATTTCAATATATTATAGTTGGTTGAAAGAATGCCTTCAATTAGATAATATTGCAAATGAAATGGAATTTGAGCATAATTTATCCAACGGTGTATTGCTAGCTCGTCTTGCTCATACATTTGCGCCACATATTGTACCATTGTCAAAAATTTTTGACATTGATCAGGTTATAATTAATTAATTAATTAATTAACTAATTAATTAACTAATTATATTTATTAAAAAAAATTATAGAATATATTAACAAAATTATATAATTGATCAATTGATTTATCAATTTTTTTTTTCCATTTTCTTTCAAAACAAAAATCTTTTTATTTCTTTTTTTTTTTTTTTTTTTACTTTTATCAGAATAATTATTTGCATAAAATTTTTATTAGTTCAAAATTTTTGAAATTATTTTAAGAATTATAATTTACAAATTTTTAGAATTATTTCAATACAAATGGACAAATTTGCTGTTATCGACACACTGATAATATTAGTTTATGGAAAGATGCAATAAGAAGTATTCATTTTCCCGAGGTTTTTATTATGCTAATTATTATTTTTAATTTAAATTATTTTTTGAAAACTTTTCATTTATTCTTTTATTTCAATAAAGATTATAATTTGAGTAATTTAATAAAATTATAATTGAGTCTTTTTTTTTTTTTGTTAGAATAATTATAAATGATTTATATTGAATCTAAAATGCATTAATAATTTATTAGTTATAATTGATTATCATTTCGAATCAGTAATTATTCCATTTGTTATCTAATTACAGCAATTATTCCTCTTATTTTTTTTAATTTTTTTTAATTATTATTATTTTTTTTTTTTTTGAAATATATTTTTTTAATTATTACAAATTTTTTAGGTTTTAATTCCGGATACTGTAGATATTTATGAAGGTCGTAATATAAAAACAGTATTTAGCTTATTTGCGCTTGCTAAATATTTACATCGAATGCATCGTGGACCATCTATTCGACGTGAAGAAAACGTTGAATTTTCACGTAAGTTTGTACTATTCGAAATATTGTAACGTTTTTTTTTTTTTTTTTTTTTTTAATATATCAAAATAATTCCAAAATTAATAAAATGTAAAAGTTTTATTAAATATATCAAATTAGTTCCAAAAATAATAAAATGTAAAAGTTTTATTAAATATATCAAAACAATTCCAAAATTAATGTTTTATTACAGTTTTCTAAAATAATGTTAATAAAATTATATTCAAAGGCATAAAATATAAATTAAAAAGAATTTTAATTTATTTATTATCAATCTTAAATTTCATAAAATTTTATTGCTATTAAAACTTGAATAATCATTTTTTACATCTCATTAAGCCATCATCTATAATTATCAAATTTTTTAAAAATGACAAACTTTTTTACAGAATAAATTTTTTCATCAAAAAAAAAAAAAAAAAAAAAAAAAGCGAATAATAATAATAAATTGAAAAATTCAAGTAGTTAATTTGAAATGAAAGCTAAATTTTAGCAATTATTTTTAATGTATTATTCTCAAATTAATGAAAATGAAAGTATCTTATTAAAGTTTTAACATATATTTTAATTAATTTCAATAAATTACTCATTCATACTTTTTTTTCTGATTAAAATTTAAATTTAAATTTTTCTCTTTGTTTTATTCCAAGTATTTGTTTTATTTTGATTTTGAATTTTTTTTTTCTTGTTTACAGCAATGATGTTAAATGACGTACGTGAACGCTTAAAAAATAGTGATTTATCATTATTTGGTAATATTGATGAAATTTTGGCCACAATACCTGTTAATTTGAATGATACAAATATTGAAGCTATAATGCAATTAAACAATAGCATTAATGATAAGGTAAAAAAGAAAAAAAAGTAGCAAACTTTTTTTTTTACGTCAAACGTCAAAATCATATTAGTTTTACGTGTGTTTTACGTGTCCATTATAGTTTGAAAATGATAAAAGTGATATGAGATAGTTTTAAATTAAATACTGATTATAAGAATTAGTATAATAAACAATCTTTATTACATTTAATTAATATTAATTCTTGCTTAATTTATATTATATTTAAATTAAAGTATTATTATTATTTTCAAAAATTTCAATTTTTTTATTAAAAATCATTTTTTTTTAATTTATGAATTATTGTAATTTTTTTTTTTAATTGTAATTTTTAGATAAATTCTTAAAATTTTTTTTTTATTCAAATTAATTATTTCTATTTTAGGTTATCTTATTGAAATGTTTGAAATTTTTGGATACAAATATTTCATATGTAAATGATTTATTTATTGATCGATATCAAGAAGAACTTATAAATCAACGAAAGATATTAGGCATAAATGAATTTTTAAATTGTAAACAAATTCAAGCAGCGATCAACAAAGTTAATTGTATGTTTATTCGATTCTTAAATTATTAAATTTATTTTACATAACATTTCTTTATATAAATTATGATATATAAATATTGGATTATCAAATTATCAATTCAAATTGTTAAAAATCTTTAAATAAATCAATAGAGAATAGTCGCAAAGATATCAAATTATCATATATAAATATTAAATTATCAAATTATCAATTCAAATTATTAAAAATGTTTTAAATAATCAGTGGAGAATAGTAGCAAAGATATTAAATTATCAAATTATCATTTTGTATGATTATGATACTTTAAAATTTTTGATAAATTCCTCCTTTATACCTAAATTAGAAATGTTAATTTTATATGTAATTTTAAACTTTAATTTGTATTATAAGTAATACAGTGTTAGATGATAGTACAAATGATAAGATTTTAACTAAATATTATAATTATATTTAAAATTTTACAATTTTAATTCATAATTGACAATTTATTAATCAAATCTGTAAGTTTCTTTTACTGAATTTTTTGATTTCTCATTTTTGAATTTAATTATTCAATTAATATAGGAATAATTCATTTAATTTTATCCCAAAATGTTTTCTTCTTATTTTAACTTTTCTTTTTTTTTTTTTAATTTTTGCCTTTTTTTTACAAAAAAAAAAAAACAAATTTTAGTAAATTCTATTTCATAGGTAAGGAAAAATCAAAACTGCAATTAAAATTTCAATGGAAAAAAAATTTAAATTTAAATTTAATTTTAGTCCAAAGCATCAACGACAATTAGAAAAATTAATTCAGACATAATGCAATAATAATATTTAATTTAAATTTATATTTTATATTATTATAAATTATTGAGTTCTATTGAAAGAAAAAAGAAAATAGAAAGTTTAAATTATTTAATTTATTATCCATTTAAATTATTTATTTATTGTTAAATCATTTAAGTTTAAATTTTTAATGGCAAATATATTTTTTTTTCTCGCAGTATAAATGAAATATAAATTTGATGCTAACATTAAATTTTGTATGGAACGATAAAAAAAAAGATAATAAATAAAGATAAAAAATTTTTTAATTAGAAAAATATTCGCTTATCAAATAAAAAAAATGTTAGAATGGATAAATTTTATTATTAATGTGCTAAAATATTTTAAAGTAATAAATTTAATTAAAAATTTTATAAAATCGACGAAACACAACAAATTTACAATTATTTAAATAAATTAAATTATTTGCTCAAAAAAAAAAAAGAAAAAACAATAATTTATTGCTAAATTGTTATTTGTGTATTATTATGTTTTTTTTTAAAAAAAATTAAACAATTAAGTAATATATATATATAGAAAATTTAATTCAATAATTTATTAAATAATTTGTTTAAATATTAACTAATTTTTCATATTCTAAAAACAAAAAGAAAAAAAAAAAACGAAAAAATTAATTTAAATATTAGAAGATGAAAAAGATGAATTTTTTTTTTTTTAAAGATATATTTCAAAAAAAAAAAAAAAATTTAATTTTTATTTAAAAAAAAATATTTTTCAGTGGAAAAAATACATTTGGCATGTGAAAATAATAATTGCAATGATTTATTAATGATAATTTGTAATTTGGATGATTTTAAAATGGAATATATTTCATTTTATATGTATGCATTCAAAAATTATTCACCGTTGACAATGGCAGAAGTGGACAAGGTCATTCGAAAGGTCAACCAAAATGTAGCAATTGCAATTATTAAATCACAAGATAGTATGTAAATTTTAATTTTTGCCCTCTTATTATTATATAATTTGTTGTGGAAATTCGTTACTGAAAATATGTAATTGAAATGGAATTAGAATATATAAAACTTAAAAAGAGATTTGTATTATTAATTGAAGAAAAAAATATGTTATTAATTAAAAAAAAAAAGAAATTGCAGAAATATTCAAATATTGAAAATATATGAATCAAATGAATGCATTATTAATAATTCGTTTATTTCTTTCTCTCAAATATTTATTTATTTTAAATTTGATAAAATAATATTAAAATATATTAATATAATTAATTGTGTACTCAAATATTTATTTATTTTAAATTTGATAAAATAATATTAAAATATATTAATATAATTAACTGATATCTTTATCATATCACTGTAAGATCTGTTGGACTTATCGAAAAAAAAGAATTTACTCATATGAATTTATAATATTAATTAAAAATACTAATCACATACATCAATTAGTATTATATTATCATATCACTGCAATTTGAGTTAGAATTATCAAAAAAAAAAAAAAAAAGTGAGAGAATAAATTTGATAAATATGAATTGTTTATTTTAATAAATTTAAATGCTTCGAAATCTTCAGAAAAAAATCAATTTTTTTCTTTCGAATGTTTATTTATTTTAAATTTGATAAAATAATATTAAAATATATTAATATAATTAATTGTATGTATCAAACTGATATCTTTATCATATCACTGCAATTTTAGTTAGAATTATCAAAAAAAAAGTGAGAGAACTGATTTGATACTATGATTTATTTATTTATGATAAATTTAATGCTTTAAAATATTTTAAAAAAAATCAATAATAATTTCTAAACTGTTTAAAAATTTATCAAATTTTAGCACTTCATTTAAATTTATTTCTTCTGGATGATAAAAAAGATAAAGCAAAAAAATTATTGCTTACATCATGGAATAGTATTATACAAAATATTTCATTGTCAGAATTTATTGCTCATTTAGCAGAGGAAATTATTATACGAAAGAAAAAATGGGTAAATTTTTTTTTTTTGTAAATTAAAAAAATTTTTAAATTTGAATATGTAAACAAATATCATAGAAAAAAAAAGCAAATTACTATTAAAATATTTTTTTTAAATTAAAAATATCGAATCATTATTATTTTCTTAACTTATTTTTGCTAATTAATTTTTTTTTTTTTTTTTTTTTTTGTAATTTTATTAGGAATCGAATATAAATGAAAGAAATGATGAATATTTACGAGAACGATTTAATGACGGTGAATTATTTATAAATATTGATAATGAAAAAATAATTTATGATAAGCCGAATAAAATTATTAAATGGATGTTAACAAGAGAGGAAATTGAGGTAATATATCGAGAGTCGAGAATTTCTATCATTTCAATTTCAATCATTTATAATTTTTTGTCGTTGACATTATCAAATGTAACATAATTGAAGGAAAATCAAATAAGAATATTTTTTTTTAAATTATATCTTAAATTTTAAAATTTGTATTTAAGAAATTTAAAATTAAACCTCGGAATTTAGACTTGCAATAAGATTTTTACATCTTAGTTATGCAAAATAATAATAACTTGAAATAATCGAGTAGTAGTAAACTGAAATTTAGGTAAATATTACCTAAATTTCTGTTAGATCACTTCTTATTTAAATTAGATCAAATATTTGTATCCATAAGTAATTAAAATAATAAATGAAATACTTGTCGAAAATTCTTTTTGCTCAAAAAAAGTTTTGGGTAAATTTATCAATTTGTTGCAGAATATCAGCACAATGATAAATGATAAGGATGAAATAGATCAAAAAGATGGAAATGATAATGAAATGAAATTGGCGAAAGCAGCAACCAAAATTCAACAATGGTGGAAAAAACGATTATTCTCGAAAAATTTCGAAG